ACAGTTATGGGAAATGAAGGTTTATTTCAGCTTACAATTATGGACACTCACTGTAAGGAAGTCAAGACAGGAACTTCAGAAAGCTAGTCACAACATCTGTGCAGTCAAGAGCTTAGAGAAGTGAATGCATGTGTGCTTGCTTGCTTCCTTGTGCTCAGCTCCATTTCTCAACTCTCATACAGTTCAGGACTATGCCTAGGGAATGGTGCTGCCCACATCAATGAACTTAATCAAGACAAAACCACACAAGGCAACTCAATGTAGACAATCCCTCTTTGAGACCTTTTCCAGTTAGCTAACCAGCACCCTTCCCTTCTCTCTCTCAACCTGTAACCATTTCATGCACAATCTTGGCCCATCCATTTTCAATGGACCCACAGTAGCAGCAGGCCTTTCTCTGCCAATTGTGGTTTTGGGTGGTCTGATCTTGGACTGCAGGCTTCAAGGTTTTCTGGGCTATAGGCTTCTCATCTTCCAAGGAAGAACTACTTTCAGTCAGCAAGACAGATACCTACAAAAACTACTGTAAAAGGTGAGCAGTGATCATTCCTGGAAATACTAGTTCCTCAACAGTTCCCACCCTACCATCTAGGAAGAAGCATCTATTGTATTCTGTGGTGTGTGTGTGTGTGTGTGTGTGTGTGTGTGTGTGTGTGTGTGTGTGTTGCTTAACCTTGTGCAACATGGAGATGCACATTTAAAATGGGTTTGTTCAGTTCTGGCAGGACAGCTCATTTGTAAAAGCACTTGCCATGCACTTTGCAAGTAGAAAGACCCCTGATTCATCCCCAGGAACCATGTGATGCCAGGTAGAGTCTCATCTCAAGGAAGACAGAGGTAGCAGAGTCCCTGGGGATCACTGGCCAGCTGGCATAGTCTAGTAAGAAAGCCTCAGATCTCATGAGAGACCCTGTCTCAAAGGAGGTGGACCAAGTTTCAGATAATGAGACCTGAAATTGCTCTCTGGTCTCCACACATGTGTTCACACATTGTGCTGGCTAGTTTTATGTCAGCTTGACACAAGCTAATGTCATCTGAGAGGAGGGAACATCCATTAAGAGAATGCCTCCATATGGTGCAGTTGTAAGCAAGCCTGTACATTTCCTTTTGATGTTGGGAGAGTACCCAGTCCATTGTGGGACCTGTGGTCTGGGCAGGTGGTCCCGCGCTATAGAAGAAAGAAGCCAGGCAAAACATGGGGAGCAATCTAGTAAGCAGCACCCTCAATAGTCTCTGCATCAGCTCCTGCCTCCAGGTTCCTCCCTGCTTGAGTTCCTGTCCTTCAGTGATGAACAGTGATATGGAAGTGTAAGCCACACAAATCCCTTCCTCTCCAAGTTGTTTTGGTCATGGTGTTTCATCATAACAATTGAAACCATTTGGTTACACACAATAAAATAAAGTAAATTGGGTTCATTTAATCTTAAATTTAATTTAGGAGACTATGTAGTTTTCCTAAATTTCCATTCATTTTCTACATCTTTTCTTCTGCACATGAGATACTCCCTTAAGTTCATGTATCCCAGTTCTTCACTAACTGCTGCTACAGCAGCCAGCATGAAGGGGACAGGGTGTTTTCCCAACTTCATCCCAGAGGTAAGAGGCTAAAACCTCCCACCTCACTCACCACCCAGCCAATAAACTAAGGCCACAATTCCTGTAATGAGGTTTCTGGGTCAACCCACATGGACCCAATTATGCTATCCAGAACTACTCGCGATGTCTTTCGGTATGTTTTGATTGTGTGTTGCTCCAATTTGATTGATAAATAAAACACTGATTGGCCAGTGGCCATGCAGGAAGTTTAGTATAGGTGGTATAAGCAGAGAAGAGAATTCTGGGAACAGGAAGGCTGAGTCAGGAGTCCCCAGCCAGACACAGAGGAAGCAAGATGTGAAGATAGAACTGAGAAAAGGTGCCAAGTCATGTGGCTAAACATAAATAAGAATTATGGGTTTATTTAAGTGTAAACTCTAGTCAATAGTTAGCCTGAGCTACTGGCTGAGCACTTTTAATTAATATAAGCCTCTGTGTTTTCAGTTGGGTTTAATCAGCCTTAGGGCTGCGGGAGTCATGCAAGACCATGAAAACTTCAGCTACACAGACCAGTGCCCCCTGATCTCTGAGGAAGTTTACACAAGAGTGTGTCTTATTTGGCCTCATGCTGTGATGAACACCATGACCAAAAGCGACTTTTGTAGGAAGGAAGGGAAGTCAGAGTAGGAGTTTGGAGAAGGAGCTGAAGCAGAGGCCATGGAGGAGCACTGCTTACTGGGTTGCTCCCCATGGCTTCTTCTATTTGCTTTTTCATACAATGCAGGACCATCTTCCCAGGAGGGCAGTGCCCACAGTGGCCTGGACATTTCCAAATAAATCATTAATCAAGAAAATGCCCCAATTATTCCCACAGGGAAATCTGGTCTGGGCAATTCTTCAGTGAAGGTTCCTTCTTCTCAGGTGACTCTAGGTTTGTGTCAAGTTGAGAGCTGAAGGAAACTATGACACTTGAGAATCCTCAGCGTCCCGAGTGCTAGGATTATAGGTGTGAGTCTCCATGTCCAGCTTAGATACAATATTTTAAAGAAAGAAGTAAGACTGTCAAGATGTCCCCATGGGTAAAAGTGTTTTCAGTGTAAGCCTGACAACCTGAGTTTGATTCCCAGAATCCAAGAGAAAGGAGAAAACCTTTTCCTGAAATGTGTGTGTGCACGCGCGCACATGTATATATTGCTAAATAATAATCTATTAAATTAAAGAAAAACACATCTAGTTTTCCTACTGAAGTGCCCGATTCAAGAAGTAGAGCTTTGCTCTCTCCGCCAAGCATCCCCAGTTCCTAGTTCCCTTTTTCAACCTGGTCACGTGTTTGCGGTGCTGGAGTGACGCCATTTTCACTGCCACCCCTACACAGGTCCTGAACAGCAGGACCAGACCTTTGCTTTTGGGGCTCCCCTTTACATAGGACACAGGCTGCTCGTGAATGAATGTCTCCACTTCTCATAGCTCAGGGGGCTTTGGAGAGCTTTTAGAGGGCAGGCTGGGTGTACAGCCCTCCTCTGCTGAAGGACATGACAGTTAGGTCTCCTTTACACACAGCTCCATGTTAGGAAAGAGTGCCACCTGCTGGAAGCTAGAGAAAATATCCAGAGAGAAGAGCTTGGTGAGGCTAGGCATGTGGGTGCTCTCAGAGATCCTCAGGCCACTTAAATGTCTGCTGAGAAAGTCTGAGCCTTCCAAAGGGAGTTGTCGGAGGAGTGGGTCTGACCTGGCCAGGACCTGTCACAGCTTCAGAGCCGCTTTTGGCCTAGCAGTCTGGTTTCTCTCCTACCAAATCTAGTAAGGCATGAATGGAGCAGGGTCCCAAGAGAGGGAGGAGAGAGGTAGAAGGAGATGGGAGGCAGGAGAGACCTTAACTGCCTTCAGCACCACCATCATGCTGGTGGAATCCCACACAAAACAAGACAATGTGGAAACCATGGAGTGATGAGCGAGTGACAGAATGAATGAGGCATGGTTACAGTTGGTCCATGTGATACTTTTTATTGGTTTGTGTTACTCAGTTTGAGAGAAAGCAGAGGTTGTTGTTTCTCTGCATACTAGTCCAAGAACGTCTTTATACTCACCTTATTGCGGCAACACCAAGGGTTGACTCCTGCCAAGATAAAAAGACATGGCAAAAACGGTCTCCTGAGCTCAGATGGCTAAGTGGGCGGGCTATGGTGAGGACACTGTAGGTAGTATGAATCCAGAAAAGAATTTGTTAGGAGACAGTTGATGAGAAGATGACCTCTTCTTGGGAACTGGCAGCCAATATTGATTTGGTCCTGTGGGAAGCAGGGGTACTAAGGGACCATGCATCATAGTCTGAGACCCAGTGATAAACTGAAGGACACAGCTGAGGAAGCTCGTTCAGAAAGACAATGTCAAGTTGAGAGCTTCAGATCTTGCACTGGCAGCACATGGGGACATAGCATGATGGCTTTGGCAGCTGGACTAACAGCAGGAAGACCCACAGCCTGAGGAGCAGCAGGGCTTACAGCAGCAGCTGGACTGACAGCAGCAGGGCTTGCAACAGCTGGACTGACAGCAAGAAGAACCACAGCCTGAAGAGCAGCAGGGCTTACAGCAGCAGCTGGACTGAGAGCAGCAGGGCTTACAGCAGCTGGACTGACAGCAGCAGGGCTTGCAACAGCTGCACTGGCAACAGGAAGACCCACAGTCTGAAGAGCAGCAAGGCTTGCAGCAGCAGGACTGAGAGCAGCAGGGCTTGCAACAGCTGGACTGGCAGCAGCAAGGCTTGCAGCAGCTAGACTGGCAACAGGAAGACCCACAGTCTGAAGAGCAGCAGGGCTTGCAGCAGCAGGACTGACAGCAGCAGGGTTTGCAGCAGCTGGACTGACAGCAGCAGGGCTTGCAACAGCTGGACTGACAGCAGCAGGGTTTGCAGCAGGTGGACTGGCAGCAGCAGGGTTTGCAGCAGCTGGACTGGCAGCAGCAGGGTTTGCAGCAGCTGGACTGGCAGCAGCAGGGTTTGCAGCAGCTGGATTGACAGCAGGAAGACCCGCAGCCTGAAGAGCAGCAGGGCTTGCAGCAACTTGATTGACAGCAGCAGGGCTTGCAGCTCCCACAGCTGGAGCAGGAACAGACAGGCACACAGCAGCACACAGGCTTGCAGCAGCACACAGGCTTGCAGCAGCAGGAGCTACAGCCTCCACAGCTGGAGCCACAGCCCCCACAGGAACCACAGCCTCCGCAGCTGGAGCCACAGCCTCCTGAACAGCCACAGCAGCTCATGGTTCTGGTGTTTGGTTGAGGATGGAGTAGGTTAGAGGAACAGGTGGAGAGAGGGAAGTGTGCAGATGTGGAGCCTCCTGAGCCTGGGCCCTTTATATCCCTGCCCAGGTCAGGTGTGAGGTTGCACGTGGTCACTTCCTGGTTCCTGTCTGTGTCATAGTCTAGGACTCTCTTCTGCATGGTGCTACTTATTACGTCTATTTCCTTGTGCCTCCTCCCAACAGACTGCCACATCTCCCAGGAAATAATGCTCCCCAGTAAACACTGACAAGTATCTGGGTGATACTCAGCCCCCTTCCTTTGAGCTGTAAAGAGACAACATCAAGTCTTTCTCCCAGTCCACAAATGCTGCACTTCATGGGGGTTTGGACTTAAATCTGAGGATCATTTCAGTGCCTTTCAAGGTTTTATTGGTTTGTCCAGCTTTTCAAAATTATTTCTATGAATTTGGCAATTTCATACTTTTCCAAAAATATGTCCATTTCTTCAAGTTTTCAAGTCCACTAATAAAAGTTGCTTCTGGTTTTATCAAATTGCTTTTTAAACAGTCGTAGCTGTATGTTTAAACTTTTTGCCATGATCTTGCTCTATAGCCATTCTTGGAACTTGTGGCAATCCTCCTGCCTCAAGGGTGCACCACCATGCCCAGATTTAGTCTGTTGTCTTTAGAGCTCTTTAAACTCCTTTCTGAAGGAGTTTAATCTGCAGGACATGCCCCCACACTCCAACAAAACCAGGATGCTAAAATACTCTAGTATTTTAAGCCTAAAATGATCACATTTGTATACTGACAATAAATAATGGACACTTAGATAGAAGTATGCCTACATCATGTAAGCACACAGGAGAACAGGGCTCAAAACCCATTTAGGGATGGCAACTATCAAACCAGGAGAGTCCTGGTGTGTTGTTCCATGTTAATGGTTCAGTGGGGATGGCTTATTATTTCCCCCTTTACTGTTAGAGCTAAAATCCTAAAGACATTAAATGGAGTCTGAAGAACAAGGGCCTGTGGGAGTGAGGTCCCCTCTAACCCCAGAGAGAGCCTGGCCAAGTACAGTTAGAGGAGCTCTGACTGAACTTGGTAAATTATTCAAGCACTTGGATCTGAGTAGAAAATGAAGAATGGCTCCAGGGACTGGATGAGGACCTGGATGGGCTGGCTGCTCCTGGATGTGCTTCGGCTGCCCAGAGTTTTCTTTGGCATCTTTGCACCTGCTTCCAGATGCAGCTACTACTTCTCAAACAAGACAGGAAGTGAGGAAGGTGGAATGGAAAAGGCAGCAAGAGGACCCTTCAGCTGGAGGAACCTCTGGAGAGTGTGAGGCTGCAGGACAGCCGGCCTCTCACACTGCCACCCTGTGGCCTCGGGGGGAACAGCATGGAGCCTCTTCCCCTGCTCAGACCCCAGGCTGGATTCTAGACATAGCTACACAAAATTGCATCAAAGTGTCCTTGGACAGCTGGTGTCTTCCCTACACCTGTCTACTACCGGGCAATAGTCTGAAAGGTCTAGAATGTGTCTTTCTAAATAGAAATACTCACTATGTGGAGTGGAACTGAGCTCTGGGGTCAAGTCTTTTGATGGTGTTTCAGTCTACACTCACAGCTTCCCTTGCTGTCTTGAGCAGACAGGAGCTCACCAGACATCAGAGCTGAGCCCAGGCCCCAGATCTGAAGAATCAGTCCCTAGGTTGGACTTCTAAATGCCAGGACCACAGTGCTCTGGTTCTGCTTCAGCAAGAAACATAGCATTAGAAGGCAATGCTGGGCCAGGCATGTGGAGCACACCTGTAATACCAGCACTAGAAGGCGTGAGGCAGAGAGGAGAGCTGTAGTTCCAGGTCAGCCTGAGCTACAAACTGGGAGCATGGCCAGCCTGAGGTACCTATAGAGAAACCCTGTTTTTACAGAAAATGTTAAAAAGTGGCCTTGGGAAGAACAATACAGAAGCTGTGCTCAAGAAAACCTGCAAGTCCCATGTACTTGAGTCATTCATTCCTGTTCTCTGTGCTTTGCTACAGCCCCAAAGAAAGGGGACACCTCCTGGACTCTTGTTAATGTTTACTGAGGAGCAACATTCTTTGGGGAACATGGCTATCTATTTGGGAAGGGCACGAGGAAAGCAGAGGTAATAGGCAACACCATGCAGAAGAGAGTCCTAGACTATGACACAGACAGGAACCAGGAAGTGACCAGGTGCAACCTCACACTTGACCCTGGGCAGGGATATAAAGGGCCCAGGCCCAGGAGGCTCCACATCTGCATACTTCCTCTCTATCTGCTTCTCTAACCTACTCCATCCTCAACCACACACCAGAACCATGAGCTGCTGTGGCTGTTCAGGAGGCTGTGGCTCCAGCTGCTGCAAGCCTGTATGCTGCTGTGTGCCAGCCTGTTCCTGCTCCAGCTGTGGGTGTAGCAAGGGAGGCTGTGGCTCCTGTGGGTGCTGTAAGGGAGGCTGTGGCTCCTGTGGGGGCTGCAAGGGAGGCTGTGGTTCCTGTGGGGGCTGCAAGGGTTGCTGTGGCTCCTGTGGGTGCTGTAAGGGTGGCTGTGGCTCCTGTGGAGGCTGCAAGGGTGGCTGTTGCTCATGTGGTGGCTGCAAGCCCTGCTGCTGTGAGTGCAGCTGCTGCAAGCCCTGCTGCTGTCAGTCCAGCTGCTGCAAACCCTGCTGCTCTCAGTCCAGCTCCTGCAAGCCATGCTGCTGTCAGTCCAGCTGCTGCAAACCGTGCTGCTGTGAGTGCAGCTGCTGCAAGCCCTGCTGCTGTCAGTCCTGCTGTTGTAAGCCCTGCTGCTGTCAGTCCAGCTGCTGCAAGCCCTGCTGCTGTCAGTCCAGCTGCTGCAAGCCCTGCTGCTGTCAGTCCAGCTGCTGCAAGCCCTGCTGCTGTCAGTCCAGCTGCTGTGCCCCTGTGTGCTGCCAGTGTAAGATCTGAGACTCTGACCTCTGACCTCAGGTGGCAGAGCTGGTGCAGGTACCCTGTCTGTCTCGTTGCTCTGTTCTGAAGCTCAATACTTTTCACACTACTGCCCCTAAATATGTTTGCATCATGGAGACGAGTACAGGATTCCTTCTACTGGACTCCACTCCTGGCTTTAATCTCACCTCTTCTCTGGTAGGCATTTCCTTGTCTGCCCCTCTCTGGAAGTCTAATCTGACAGCTGCCCTTTCACCCAGATTGACCAGTCTTGATCCTCCTGGCTTCCTGTGGATCAGGTCCTGGTTCTGGAGTTCTAAATAAACAGTGTACGCAGCACAAACTCTGTCTCCTGCCTTCTTCTTCTTTTCCTCCTATCATTCCTTTCACCCACACCCAACCCATTTAGTCGGTCCCTTAGAACTGACCTCATGGTTTTCTGTGCTATACCTCCCCTCTGTTGTGCTCTAGGTATAGAGCCAATTAGAGTTTTGTTGTCCATTGAATGTGGGTGGGCAGCATTGAAGACAGGTGCAGTGACTGGTGTGGGAAGGAACCGGTAGTTGGGATCATGTGATGGAGGGGTCGATGTATGGGCAAGCAGTGCTCCTCTGGCACATGGTATCTCAGAAGCCTGGTGTCTGGAGAAAGCCTTACTTAGAGGGATTGCAGTTGTTGAGTTTTATCCCAAGACACTCCAGGAAGACTGGTGTAACAAGTCTTCTATGCATACTGGATAGGCATGATGCACAGGCTAGTTTTGTGTCAATGTGACACAAAGTAGAGTCATCAGAGAGGAAAAGCCTCAGTTGAGGATACGCCTCCGTGAGATCCAGCCGTAAGGCATTTTCTCAGATAGTAATCAATGAGGGAGGGCCCAGCCAATAGAATGTGGTACCATCCCTGGGCTGGTGGTCCTGGTTTCTATAAGAAAACAGGCTGAGCAAGCCATGGGGAAGAAGCCAGTAATCAGCTCTCCTCCATGGCCTCTGCATCAGCTTCTGCCTCCAGGATCCTGCCCTATTTGAGTTCCTGTTTGGACTTCCTCCAATGATGGACTATGATCTGCCAATGTAAGGCAAATAAACCCTCTCCTCACAACTTGCTTTTCGATCATGGTATTTTGTCCAAGCAATAGAAACCCCAACTAAGACAAATGACAAGTCATCCTTGAGGTCACCTAATGAAGCTCAACAGCTTGGTCCTCCATGGAGGATCTTGATCAGACTAGATTTTTACAAGAGACAATCCTGTCAAATACTGAGTGGGATCTACCACTCAGAAGGAACCTAAGGGCACAGACAGGCACACAGAGGAGGGTGTCATGTGATGGTGACCACTTCAATAAGGCAAGAAAAGCTAATATTGGGTAGAAAAAATGCTACAAATCATAAACAATGTGTTTTTATGTATGAGATTCAAACAATTTACTTGAACTAATAAGCCAATGTAATTAGATGGCAGGAAACAAGACCTACAGGCAGATGAATGGGGTTTAGGGCAGGGAGCATAGAGTGTGGCTCAGTAGTAGAGCCCTTGCCTAGTAGACCAAGGCTGTGGCTTCTTCCCCAGCACTGCAAACAAATAAAAAAAATAATGGTGCTTTCATAAACAATTATATAAAAATTATCTTTATAATTATATCATTACAAATATGTGTTTGCTTTTAAAAAATGGAGATGAATGTGAAAGGGGATGTTGGAGTTTGCAGAAGTGCAAAGGGGAGGGGATTAAGAAATGATGGAGAGTGGAGGCTGTCGGGGCTGGATTGTCAGTCAGAGACAGGAGGGAAGATGGCTGCCCGGACCGGTGCTGCTAGGAGGAGAGGGGCAGGTGGCGCGGCTGCTGGCGGAGCGCAGTCACCCGGTGGCTGTGGTCGCCGTGGTGGTCGCGAGGCGAGGCCGCGGTGGGTCCCAGGGCTGCTCTGGTTGAAGGTTCAGAACAAATGTGGAAAGATGTTCACCTCAGAGATAGGGGTTGTGGAAGAATGGCTGTCAGAATTTAAGACACTCCCAGAAACATCTTTGCCAAATTATGCCACAAATTTGAAAGACAAGAGTTCTTTAGTTTCATCTCTCTACAAAGTTATCCAGGAGCCACAAAGTGAGTTGCTAGAGCCTGTGTGTCACCAGCTCTTTGAGTTCTACCGCAGCTGGGAGGAGCAGCTGCTGCGGTTCACCCTGCAGTTCCTCCCGGAGCTGGTCTGGTGCTACCTCGCCGTGTCAGCCAGCAGAAATGTGCACAGCAGTGGCTGCATCGAGGCCCTGCTTCTGGGGGTTTACAACCTGGAAATAGTTGACAAACAGGGACATAGTAAAGTATTGAGTTTTACAATTCCATCTTTATCCAAACCATCTGTATATCATGAACCTTCCAGCATTGGGTCTATGGCTCTGACTGAGAGTGCGCTATCCCAGCATGGCTTATCCAAAGTTGTGTACAGTGGGCCCCATCCTCAAAGGGAAATGCTTACAGCACAGAACAGGTTTGAAGTGTTGACATTCCTTTTGTTGTGTTACAATGCTGCCTTAACCTATATGCCCAGTGTTTCTCTTCAATCACTGTGTCAGATTTGTTCAAGAATCTGTGTCTGTGGCTATCCTCGACAACATGTAAGAAAATACAAAGGTGTAAGTAGCAGGATACCAATTTCATCCGGATTCATGGTGCAGATGCTAACAGGAGTCTATTTTGCCTTATACAATGGTGAATGGGATCTAGCTCAGAAAGCATTGAATGATATTATATACAGAGCCCAGCTAGAATTATATCCAGGGCCACTGTTGGTTGCTAATGCAATAAAGGCTTCATTGCCTCATGGTGCCATGAAATCTAGTAAGGAAGGTACAAGGTGTGTATTCAAGTTGAAATCACACCAACTTCCTCTAGAATATCAAGAAATGCAGTTACCAGCATGTCAATTAGAGGTCACAGGTGGAAAAGACATGAGCAACCTGACAGCAATAATGATGCTACTGAAGTGGGCATCCTTGTCATTCCTGAGATTAGTGTCACAAATGTGTCCGGAGAGAGACCCGGGAATGGGGAAAAAGGCAGAGCGCTAGGAGACATTGATGCCCAGCATATGCAGGGCATGCAGGAGACAGCCACAGACCCTAGAAGTGAGAGCAAAGGCTTGCCTGAGCTCAGGAGGCAGAAATCGGTAAGAAAAATGATGGAAGATGGAATGGCCACAGCTGGCAGAGTGCAGTTTTAGCAGAGCACTTTATAGCCACACCCCAAGGAGACACAGAATTAACAGGTCAAGAAGAACTGACGGACATAACTGAAGTTGACGAGGGATTTTATTCCAGGGCTGCGTCTAGCACCAGCCAGTCGGGTCTATCAAACAGTAGTCACAACTGTAGTAACAAGACAAGTGTAGGGAAGAACCAGAGACGGTCAGGAGGAAGCAGAGCGGGAGCAAGAGAGAGAGAAACGGCAGGGGAGTCTTGCAGAGACCACTTTGCTCGCAAGCAAACCCAGAGAGCCCAGAGCGAGAACCTCGAGCTTCTCTCTCTGAAGAGACTGACCTTGACCTCCAGCCAGTCCCTGCCCAAGCCCAGCAGCCAAGGCTTGGCCAAGACTGCAGCCACTGTGTTTAGTAAATCCTTTGAACAGGTCAGTGGCGTCCCAGTCCCACGCAGCCCCTCTCCTGCCGTTGGCTGTGTTGCTGGGGCAGATGCCCATAGATTTTCCGCTTGTAGTCTCCAAGAAGAAAAGCTTACTTACGTGTCAGAAAGGACTGAGCTTGCGATGAAGCACCAGGCTGGTCGGCAGGGACCTCCCAGTATTAGCATCACTCTGTCTGCAGACTAACTTGTAACTTCTTTCTCTCCGATAAGCAGGGAAGCCCGAATATGGCTTTGCTCCTGTATGAAAGTCCCGAGTCCTTCATGCCTGCTCCTGGCGGGGGGGCCTGTGTCTTGACTTCTGAAGGCTCCTTGGACTATGAAGGGAACAATGTCTAGTTTGCAGTAAGCTGAGATATGGGCTTGTTATTTCTTGGGTACCCTTCGCCCCTTGATTGAGTTCTCTATTCTTTTCTTCCTCCTTCCTGTTGTTTGTTACTGTTGCTCTAAGATTGTCAGTGTGACGATCCGTTTTTGCAGTTGTCTGAGTTGGTTCCATCCTCGGTGAGGTCGTTTTTAATACCTCATATTTTAGCGTCTAGGTATTTGCCCTGAGAAGTCACGAGAGTCTGTGTGTGAGAGGACGCGGCTGTAGAGCCTGGACAGAGGAGCGAGTCCATGAAGCCACGGTGACAAACAGGTGTGTGAGAGGACAGAGCCCTGGAGCACTGGGGACGCCAAGTGCCACGTGAGCTCTGCAAGCAGTCTCCCTTAAGTGAGGACAGGTGCCTCACACACTGCGAGTGGTGGGCAGGACAGTTGCGAAGGGAAGGTGGGGGGATTGATTGCTGTGGGTGTCCTTAGAACGTTGAACAGTGAACTGAGATTGCTGGTAGGTAACGTTGTCAAGTGTTTGATCTGGATTCCACCGTGAAAGGTCCTTCCAGTTTCTAAAGTGTAACCAGCCATAAAGCTGCTTGACTCTGCTGCTCGACTTTGGAAGTCCTGGTTAGTTTGTATTTTGGAGTTCAGAACTCACATCCCAGAAGACTTCCTGGAAACCACTGTAAATCTGGCAACACAGCTCCCAAGACACCAGTATCAAGCGTTTAATAGTGAATTGTCTACAAATGAAGGAAATTAGATAATTTTTCATCTCCAGAATGTGATAAAAGAAAATGAAGCTAGTGAATATGGACAAAGGACACTTGTGCATTTTTAACTTAGGATTGCTTGTGTTTGTCTTGTTAAATTTAACATAAGAAAAGAAGAATGTGCTTCTTGTTTGTGAGCTTTAAGTGTTCTTGTTATGTAGAAAGAATAATTCAGTTACACACCCATCCTGCCAATCAAACGCCTGTACTAAGGAAGGTGATAAGGCAGAAGCTAACCAAATGTAGCTCTCGAGAACCCTGTGAACTTGGTGACCTCTGTGAATTCTGTGGACTCAAAAGGTTGGTGCCTGCGGTGGTCTGTGGTTGGTGAAGCACCTATGAGGCTGGTGTGTTCAAGTAGAGATTGGAGCGAGAGGAAGCAAGGGCAGTGGAAAGACCTGGGAAGCTGACCTCTTCTTGGTTTCATTGACTCTCGGTCCATCAAGGTCTCCTTATTCATGGTCCCTAGCTGGGATCACAAGAACATGCTTGTGTTTCCCTTTTGAACCTGCATGGGTCCAGCTCATATAGAGGACAAAACTGCACATGTTGTAGAGTGTGAAACATTTACAGCTGAGACACAGTTTTACATGCTTCCCTACCAGATTAAGCCTAATTATCCAAGACCTGTGCTTCTCAGCATAAATGAGTATACCACTTTAGTTTCGGTAATAGAATGAACTGTTGGCTTCAACTGTCCTCAAGTGTTGTAAGTAGACAGTAAAATGAATAGTGGAATGATTTAGTAGTAATCTTGTGTAGAGTTGAAAATGTTTGTAAAATGTCACTGTGAATTTCCTGTTGTCTTTTTGTAATTCCTTAACAAAGAATTTTTCTTACACCTAGTTACTAGCAGTATTGATAACATTAAGAAGAAATTGAAAAGATTGTCATTAGGCAAGTTGAGGTGCTTGCCTCAGCATAGAAAAAGTTCAAAGAAACATTATCTGGCATAAATGAGAGATCAGGATAATGTTGAGCTACCATAATGAAACTTCATTTTGATATTGTTGAAGACATTTGCTACTCATGTGATTCAAAAACCATTGGTATTGCCTGGTATTTTAATAAAACTTCACAATTTTAGGAGCAAACCTAGTAAATGAAAACTGGCATTTTAGCAAGGCCCCTAGTGATGCATTCATCTTTGTGAAAAAAAAAAAGAAAAAAAAAAAAAAAGAAATGATGGAGAGGATAGGACCAAACCACATCACATGCCCATGTAAAAAGTAACCTAGTTCTGAAACCAAACAAAGACCTGATGAAAACCAACCATGCATTTGTTGTCTGTTTGGTTTTTGTTTTGTTTTGTTTTGTTTTTCGAGACAGGGTTTCTCTGTGTAGCTTTGCACCTTTCCTGGAACTTGCTTTGTAGACCAGGCTGGCCTCGAACTCACAGAGATCTGCCTGCCTCTGCCTCCCAAGTGCTGGGATTAAAGGCATGTGCTGCTGCTGCTGCCGCCGCCGCCGCCGCCACCACCACCACCACCACCACCACCACCCCCCAGCTGTCTGTTTTTTTTTTTTTTTCTCACTATGTAGCACTGGCTATCCTGCAACCTGATATGTAGACTAGAAAGGTCTCAAACTTATCATAATCTAACCCCCTTTCTGCCTCTGCTTACACTGATAGGATGATTTTAAAGGTATATGCATGGCTGGGGAGACGGCTTTACTCATAAAGCGGTTGCCTTACAAGCAAGAGAACCCAAGTTCATTCCCCAGAATTCAAGTGAAAACGTTGGGTGCTATGGTGTGCACTGATAACATTAGCCCCAGGAACGCAGCGATAAGGAATCCTGTCTCTCTGACCTGCTTGCTCACCTGGGAGCCTAGCCATAGGTTCTCGGTCAGTGAGAGACCCTGCCTCAAAAACAAGATAAACACAGGAAGAACAACATTCAGGGTTGACCTCAAGCCCTCCACACACACATGCCAGGGAGTGGATACAACAGCTTCGCCGGCTGCCTGCTGGGCAGCCTGGTGTGGCTGTGTCCCCTGTGGGCACTCGGAACTCTATTTTCTTCTCCATTCAGACATAAGTAAAGGTTCAGCTGTATCTTTGGATGCCTCATCTCCAGGTCCTCCCCTCAAACTGTTACATTTTGTAGATGCTACAAGGAGTTTAAAACAGTATAAATATATCAGTCATACCAAGATGATGATCTTTGAACTCTACTTCAAAATGTTCAAATAATTTTAAGTCATAATAAAATGTGGTGTGTGTGTGTGTGTGTGTGTGTGTGTGTGTGTATGTGTGTGATGGACATTCAGTGTGTGTGTGCTGATAACATTTCCTGTGTTCAAAATAATAATTTTTGCCAGTGCATAAACACAAGTTTATACTGGAGCCAAGCATGAATGACCATGATCCAGAACACAGATTTGTGTTACCCCAAATTCCATGTTCTGAAGAAAACCATAAGCCATAACACTTCCCAAATTCTTTGGTAGAAACATCAGATAGAATAGTTATAGCCAAGCAGGGCACCTCTGCTGTAGGCCTCAGGTGTTACCTGGGGGCATCCTCAGCTTTGGGGAGATCAGAGTCTATTTGTGTATTCTGAAGGATTTTACCTCATGGTCATAAGAATGTTAAGTTTTTTAGTTCAGAAATGGAGGTTTGCAATGAATGGCTGCTGAAGAGCCTAAGACCCCCCCTCTTCTACAACACCCCAGCTCTCCACAGCCACAGGAGTTTGAATTGTTTGCTCAGCCTGGTAGAACCTTACCCAGGCATTTCTTCTTTCCATTCTGAGAACCTTAAATCACATTTTATAGCTTTCTTAAAGTAAGGGATAAGTTTCAGAATAGGTGACCAGGTCAAGTTTCTTGCACCTGTTCCCCTTATGTGTCCATGACTTGGACTTGAAGTTGTGCCCTTGGCAATATAGAATAGCAGCTGACCAATGGTGCTGACACTGCTAGGTGTCCAGAGAGGTCAGGCATGGGTTAAAGTTCACTTTGAGCATGGGAGTGCATCTGTACCCACTATAATCCCAAAGCAAGACCCCACTTCTTTTTTTAACCTTCTCTTTGTTTATTCTTTGTGTCTCTCACATCATGCATCTGCATCCCATTCATTTCCTAATCCCTTTGTATCCACCCTCTGCTCTTACAACCCCCTCCCAAAATAAAATAAAATTTAAGAGAAAAGAAAAAAGAAAAAAAAATCAGTCTTGTCATGGAAGCTGTAGTGTGTCACAGTGAGTCACACAGTAAACCCTTTTATCCATATATCGTTACTTGCAAGTGTTCATTGCAAAGAGTCATCAGTCTGGTTCGAGGCCTCTGGTCTCTGCTACACTGTTGATCCTGGGTCCTCACTGGGACTCCTCTTGGATATCCTGTTGTTGCCCTGTGTCACGGAGATCCTGCAGCTTTGGGTTTTCAGGACCGGCTCCTTCACATGCTCCAGCAGATAATAGATTGGGTGAATGTTGGGGTGGGCCAACTCATAACCCTGGTTGTAGGCCTGGGTAGTTGCAGGGTTGCTCAGCCTGCCAGCTCTCCCTGTCTTCACCACCAGGGGGAGCTCTCCTGCATTGCACTGGCTAGTTCAGCCCTTGTAGCATGAGCAAGGGGCAGAGTCAGTTCTGCTTTTATGGCCCTCAGGGTTGGCTCCCCCACACCTACACCATCAGGACCAGCTCTACTG